TAGGCCATGTATTTTTTTATTTTTAATATTTATGCACAGGTGAATTATGTGCATGAGAACCAACTGCCAAAGGTAGAAGATGTCACAAGACCAAAAATTTTAAAAAGGCAGACAGATCCAGGACTGTACAAAGTGCAATTATTGACAGAAGCCTGTCTTAGGTAGCATCAAGTCAAGGAAGTCACTGTACCTCAAAGCAGGGAAAAGGGGTTTATATGATAAGCTAAATAATAGTGGGCTGAGGCCAACCCCAATATACCTGATTTTTCTCAAACACTATTTTCTCAAACACTAAATAAAGGACAGTTGCGAAACAGTCTATAGCATGCTCAACTGACTCTTTTACCAACTTTGTCCTGCAGGGCTTGAGATGTGGGCAAAGTGGTAGTTAAGATGAAGATGGCTGTAGTCATACCAATCTGGACCCTTACATGCATTTTTTTTCCTTTGTTGACTTTTGCTATCAGAATTATTCTTGCTTTCATCTTTTAAAACATTCTTAAATTGACATAGCATAGGAATAATCTTCTTAAAAACTTAGAAGGACTCATCTTTTTTCTGGGTATACCACTTATGTGGGAAAGTGTTTTAAAAAGTTTTTAAACTTGTTGGATTTATTTTGTTTAAATTTTATTTTTAATTTTTACTAACATAAGAAAATCTATTCTTTAGAATACCTTTTTCTTGGAATTTATTGATATTTGCTTTGTGATTTACTAAACATTCCAATATCTACCAGTTAAGTGGTATTATATATAGTTAACATTTTTACATTGTTCAGGACTAAGCAGAGAACAGGGTTTGGAATCAGATAACATTAGATTTGAATTCCTCTTACTTCCTAGGTAAACTTGCACTGTTAGTCTCTTGAAGTCTCAGTTTTTTAAAAAAATTTATATATGACAGCCGAATGCATTACACTTCTTATTACACATATAGAGCACAATTTTTCATATCTCTGGTTGTATACACAGTATATTTATACCAATTCGTGTCTTCAAACCTGTCCTTTGGATAATAATTTCTTTGTTTAGCTTTTGTTTGGAAGATCTATCTAGTGATGAAAGAGGTATGTTAAAGTCACCCAAAATTATTGTGTTGTGGTCTATTTGACACTTGAACTTGAGAAGAGTTTGTTTGATGAACATAGCTGCTCCATTGTTTTGGGGAATATATAATTATTAAGTCTTATTGGCATATGGTTCCTTTGAGCAGTATGTAGTGTCCTTCTTTATCCTTTTCGATTGACTTTAGTTTGAAGTCTACTTTATTTGATATGAGGATGGAAACCTCTGCTTGCTTCTGCAGTCCATGTGAGTGGTATGATTTTTCCCAATCCTTCACCTTCAATCTGTGAATGTCTTTTTCTATGAGATGAGTCTCTTGGAGGCAGCATATTGTTGGGTCTTATTTTGATCCAATCTGCTAGTCTATGTCTTTTGATTAATGAGTTTAGGCCATTAACATTCAGGGTTATTATTGAGATGTGATTTGTATTCCCAGGCATTTTTGTTTATTTTTGGTATTTAATGTGACTTGGTTTCTCCTCTGATTAGATTTTCCTTTAGTGTAATCCCTCCCTCTGCTGATTTTCATCATTGTTTTTCATTTCCTCTTCTTGGAATATTTTGCTGAGGATGTTCTATAGTGCAGGCTTTCTAGTTGTAAATTCTTTTAACTTTTGTTTATCATGGAAGGTTTTTATTTTATCATCAAATCTAAAGCTTAGTTTTGCTGGATGTAAGATTAGTATCCATTTTCTTTCAGAGCTTGATCTTTCCATGATCTCCTGGCTTTGAGGGTCTGGGTTAAAAAATCTGCTGAGATACGAATCGGTCTCCCCCTATATGTGATCTGATTCCTCTCTCTTGCCACTTTTAAGAGTCTATCCTTATTCTGTATGCTAGGCATTTTCATTATAATGTATATTTGCTTGGTGTAGATCTGTTGTAATTTTGTACATTTGGTGTCCTCTTGTATTTGGTTTTCCAATTTGATCTTCATGCTTGGGAAATTTTCTGATGTTATCTCATTGAAGAGATTGTGCATTCCTTTGGTTTGAAACTTTGTATCTTCCTCTATCCCCATAACTCTTAGATTTGGTCTTTTGACCCATAATTCTTGGATGTTCTCTTCATGATTTCTAATTACTTTCACTGTGTGAACAACTTTATTTTCCAGATTGTATACTTTGTCTTCATTATTTGACATTCTTTCTTCCAAGTGATCTAGTCTGTTGGTTATGCTTTCTATTGAGTTTTTTATTTGATTTATTGCATCCTTCATTTCAAGGATTTGTGACTTTTTTTTCAGAGTCTCTATCTCTCTCTATTTTTTTTGTTATTCAGAAATTTATTATTAATTCCAGCATAAACTTTTACACTCCAACAAGCTATAATTTTATCAATTTTTTAATTTTTTAATTTTTTTATTAGCTATACATGACATTACAATGATCTTGGCAATTCGTACATTTGAAGTTTCTCTCTTGAAGTAATCTTTTGTTACCTGTATTTGCTCTCTTATCTCTAGTTGGAGTGATCAACCTTTGCTTGTATTTGCTCATTTAGGTCATTCTTTAATTCACTGATCATTTTAATTATAAACCTTCTGAACTCCTTCTCTGTCATTTCATCAACTTCACTGTCCATGGGTCCTGTTATTATAGTGTTGTGGTTTGTTTGAGGCACTTTCCTCCCTTGTTTTTTCATGCTGTCTATGCATCTTCCTTTCTTGCATTGTGGATCTGAGATAGTTTCGTCCCTGTATTCTTGTAGTACCCATGCAGATTGTCTGTGCCTCACCTTGATGTTGAGCTTCCAGACCTGGCTGGTGTCCCTCAATGAATGCTACTGCATCTTGGATATGGGTCCTGCTTAAGTTGGAATGGGTGGATCTGAGCCACTGGGCTTGACCTCCCACAGTGGTTGAGAGCCTGAATCCCGTGTGGATTGGTGTGGGTGGTCTGGGCTGGATCTTGGCTCCCGCCTAGTCCACTGATCAGAAGGGGCAGTCCTGCACCA